ATTCCGTCCTTAGGTGCGGACTGGAGTTTCGGTGTTTCTTTTCAAACTCCTCGTTTTACAGTACTTAATGGACATACATGGGAAGATGTGGCTCCGGAAGCCGTGCCATTTATATGTCATCGAAATCCTGGAAGGGAATTCCGTGCTGCCCAGGAGGTCCTCGACGCCGGTCTGTTTCGTGGGGCATTTTCTCGTGGTGTGGGAGGGTCTCCACTTCCTTCGGGGCCCACCACAAGGGTAACGTGTTCCGGCAATGCCACGCTTTTCCCTTACTGAAGCAGCTGAATGCACTGTTAGTAAAGAAAGTTTAATCTTTAAACTTGTTTTAAAATGATGTCTGCAATAAAAATACTCTTCTAGCCAGGTGCGGTGGCTCACGAATATAATCCTAGCACTTTTTGAGGCCGAGGTAGGAGGATCGCTTGAGGCTGGGAGTTCAAGGCCAGTTTGAGCAAGAGCAAGAACCTATCTCTACAAAAAATATAAAAATAAGCCAGGTGTGGTGGCGCCTGTAGTTCCAGCTACTCTGGGAGGCTGACCCAGGAAGATTGCTTGAGCCCAGGAGTTTGAGACTGCAGTGAGATGTGACGCCATTGTAGTCTGGCCCAGGTGACAGAGAAGACCCTGCCTCAAAAAAAATACTCTTACATTAATCAGTGGTGTCTTAAATCTGTTCAATTCAGGCATAATGCCGTATGCCACAGTTTAAATCCCAGCTGTGCTCTGAATATGGTAAATTCATTTGCTGAGAGAAGGCATCTTTCCTGCAGGCTCTGATGGGAAGGAGACTGTTGTCAGGAACTTCTTAGCAAACATTTTTATGCTCACACAGGTGTATACGTCAGTGCTTAATGGGGAAGTCCAGTTGTAGGAAGCTGGGCTAGAAAACACCCTCTCTTCCTAAGAGTGTGGCTCCCACCATTCGGCCTCCACAATACCTTAATGTGCAAAACACATCCAATGTAAACAGTAAAAAGAGTCTATGGAAAGCTAGGTATTTTTAAGTAATTTTTTTTTTTTTTTAGGTTCGTCCCATAAAGATCCCATGGAGGGTCGAAACACGAAAAGCATTTGTTAGGAGGCTTAGTCCTAACCACGTTACCACTCTCTCCTTTCCAGGGTGCACGTGCCCCCCAGTTCGGTTTTCTGGACATCTTTCCAAAAGTCACCTGCAGGCCTCCCAAAGAGGTGCAGGACATGGAGCTGAGTCCTGAGAGGAGCGACCGAGAGCCCGGGATGGATCTCGTAGAGTTCTGCAGCGAGACTTTCCAAAGACCTTACCAATATTTAAGACGATTCCATCGAAACGAAAACCTAGACCGGTTTCAGTACCAAGAAGGCTCCATTGAAGGCAACCCACAGGAATGCCTCCAACATTTCCTGATTTACTGTGGGGTGATAAACCCATCCTGGTCGGAGCTTCGGAACTTCTCGAGGTTCTTGAATTACCAACTGCGAGACTGTGAGGCCTCTCTCTTCTGCGATCCGGATGTCATTGGAGACACCTTGAGGGGCTTCAAGAACTTTGTGGTGACGTTCATGATCTTTATGGCAAGAGACTTTTCCACACCGACACTTGACACCTCTGACCAAAGCCCAGGGAGTTACACGGTCCCCATGGATGGGGTTAAGGAAGAAGATTTGGCCCCTTTCTCCCTCCGGAAGCG